GGGAACGGGCGAGCGCAGAGACTTCACCATCAGGTGCACTGATCTGCCTGGCCTACGAGATCTTGGACGCTTGAGCTACGACGACTTCAAGTTCGCCAAGCGTGTGTCTGGTTTGTTGCGCGGCTATGACCACAAGTTCTTGCTGCCGCACCACCGCATCATTCCCCCTGACTTCGACAACCAGCTGTACCTCAACTTTAAGAACATGTACACCTACTTGAAGAGGAGGTACCGAGCTCAGCTGTCGCGTCAGGACCTGTACCTGATCTTGAAGACACAGGACAGGTTCATGTGTCAGATTGAGACGGGAATTGTCGGGGAACTGACAACTTTGGACATGCCGTACCGCATCACTCATGTGAAGGCTTGTCAAGGTCACGATCAGACCCTGATTGACAAGGTGGGCACAGCACCTTTGGTCAAGCAGATCATCTCGTTCGACTACGACTTCTCCGCGGAGGATCTTGGACGAGGGCTCTATCCCAGAGTCCCCATTTACCCCCACCTGGCGGAAGTCGAGGTCCCAGAGGAATTCCGCACTGTGTACCATTATACGTCGTGGAGCTCCCTTCAACAGACAGATTATTTGCACTGGCATTTTCCCAGGAGCCTCTTCTTGCAAGGGGCACGTGTACATGACACGTCATGCGCCTTGGGAAATCGAAGGCAAGGATCCTGGTGTCAGGACGAATCGTCCATTGTGCTTGGCAATCGACACCGATTGCGCATTGCATTATGGCATTCGCCTGGTGGAAACCTTGGCCGGAGCAATCATCACCGAAGACTGGGTCCCCAACCATTGTCTCATCTACGCTTTCGATTGCGAAAAGTCCCAATACCTTTGGGCCAACCTTGGTTACAACGGGGTCAAGAAATATCTTCGAATGAAGGGTGCTGAGAACGCCTTGATCTGGGAGCAGAACGAGACTCGGAAGGGTACTCCTGGCTATTAATCTGGAGCGCTACGAGAGCTCCGACCTGGAGGCCTTGAAGATCTTGTTCACCAACGAGTACCCCCAGTGGAAGGACGTTGTCACGTTGCGGAGGCCTCTCATCTACAAAGAAGTCCCCACTCCGTACGAAGTGGTCGACGAGCTCTTGCCAAAGCACAAGCAACGCCCCTTGGACTTCAAGAACCTGCTCTGTGTTGCTCGCAAGCCCTCTGTCACTGCAGCAGGCTTTGAGATTGCCCCGGACAACGCGCGGGAACGCCGTTCTGATCGCTTTGATCAGGATGCATTCGATCCTGCCGCGGAGGGGACCTGGGAAGCCATTCGTACTCTTAAACCGGGTCCATACCCTGAACGGCCACGAAAACGGATTTTCATGGCCATTGGGTGTTTTCACGTCCATTGGTGATTTTCACGGCCAAACGGTGTGAATTTCATGCTTTTCACGGGTCGGGTTGACACGTCCAGGGTTTTCACGGCCAAATGTGTGAAATTCACGGTTTTCACGGTTTTCACGGCCAAATGTGTGAATTTCACGGTTTTCATGTGCCGGGTTGCCACAGTCAGAGGTTTCACGATTAAAATGTGTGAAATTCATGGTTTTCACACGCCGGGTTTGCCACGGCCAAAGTTTTCACAACCAAAATGTGTGAAAATCTTCGTTTTCATGGGTCGGGCTGCCACAGCCAAAGTTTTCACAGCCAAAATGTGTGAAATTCACAGGTTTTACTTGTCAGGTTATCACGGTCGAATTTTCACATCAAATTGTGTGAAATTCACGGGCTTTAGGGTTTTCACGTTTTTTTTATTTTCTGGGGTTCAAAAACTTTAGGTTTAAGTGTTGTTGCATTTTGTTTCGCATGGTCTTTGTTTGTAAATATGTTGTACAGCTCCGCTACCAATGATGTGGCCAGTTCCTCTGTGCAGTGAGAGTGAAAGATCTGGTAGAGAAACCTGTCACCAGACATTGAAGTCAAAACTTCCTGGGACCGTTTGTCTTAACCAAATTATGCAGACATAGTCAAAACTTCCTGGGACGATTTGTCTTAACCTTTTGCAGCCATTGAAGTCAAAACTTCCTGGGACTGTTTGTCTTGAGCAAAACAAAAGCTTAGAAATCAAAACTTCCTGTTTGGCTTAACCAAAGCAATTACAACGTTTAATGGCATGTGGTTTGTTTATTTCACAGCCTACGCAGGTCAAAAAAACTCAAAACCCTGAAATGTAGCTGGTGCGATATGTATATATCTATATACATAGGGACAAAAACAGGCAGGTGAGGATCTAGCCATGAAAAACAAAAAACACACATATTATTTGTTATTTGTACGGTATACGTGTGAAAACACAGCATGAAAACATTGGGTTTCACAGCTGAGAGATCGAAGGATGCAATTCATTTTTCCCAACGTTTCAAGCACAAGTTGCGCTCAGTCCCCCAAAGTCACTTTCAAATGCCCTGGCAATGAAAGTGCCCACCTTTGTAAAACCCGCTTAGGTGCCGTTTTGTAGTTCACAACATTCAGAACCTTCCCCATTTTTTTAAGATAGTCTTCATCCATCCATGTGCTGTAGGCAGCCGGGTTCGCACGGCGTGGGGAAAAAAAACAATGGTTCAACATGTGCAACTTCGGGCGCACCCGAAAAAGTAGCTTGTGTTCTGAGATAGCTAGCTTCAGGAAAAAAAACCCAAGCATTTCCAGGGATGATTTCTCACCTGGAGTGAGAAAAAAATTTCCTGCATACATCAAACTGACGGCCTTGTTGCTGGCCCACAACATAGAAGTGATTTCCGGGAATTTTTCAGAGTGTGGCTGCAAAATTTCCTCCAGCCATGATCCCACCACAAAAGAATCGTAACCACTACAACACAGTTCTGGATACTTACGGGTTTTCCAAGTAAGTTTTGATTTTGTCAGCTTTCGGATTCTTAAGTGGTATTTGCGCCGCCGAGCAAAGGATCTCAAAGACTCTGAAGCTTGTTTGAGCCTGGCTTTGATGGTTCCCCCATCAAAAACGTCCTGAACTTGCAGTATCACTTTCAGTGATGAACCTATAAGATCCCTGGCCACTCCTAAACTCCATACGTGAAGCATGTCAGGCATCATCATGCCTTGGTGAAAACCACGTAGCTGTGCATACGAAGGTGTAATTTCCCACGGAGGTGTTCTATACATAGTCTCCCACCATGCTGCACTTGGTTCCACATGGGTCAAACACATACGCATGTCATCACCCTTCGACGCATCACAGAGCCAGCAAACCTTCAGGGTTTTGAACGTGAACCATGAATTGTTTGAAACAGTTTTGTCAAAATACCTAGCCTTGTCAGTATTATAATGCCGTTTGAGGTTGAAAATCTGACCCGTCGCTTTCCAGTCTCCACGGAATCCCATGCAGTATACACGAAGATGCCTCACCTGGGCTGTTGTGAAAGATCTGGCTCAGAAAGCCAGGAGTTTAACATGCCGTCGTCATATAAATATAAAGTAAACACTTGTTGCTTTTGAAAAAGTTTCTGAACTTCAAAATTTGAAACAAGTTATCGTTTATATACTTCAAGCTACAGTTCTACTTCCAAGCGAAGGAAGGTCACGGATAGGCAGTCCTTCATCACAAAGTTTGTTGAACGATGCACATAGCTGGGCTGTCACAGACTGCAACGTAAGATTCGTGCTACCATCAAAGGCATAAAGGCTAGCAGGAAGAACACACATTGGAAACCTAGATGATGTGCTGCGCGTCCGATGCTTCGAATTGTCGGAGGCCCACAGTAGAAACATCCAGCTGTCACCACCTAAACCATCAATTTCATCACCTTGGCTCAACAATTTGTTGAAGGAATCATCGCATTTTTGAATTGACACCAGGAATAAAATAGTGAATGAAAAAAATTGTGAATGGAAATCATTCAATATATTGATCCAGGAATCCATACAGTGTGACTCCAGCAGATGAAGATAGTGTAGGGTCTGATTCGATCACCGGGTGGCCCGGAAAGTCACGAAGCATGGACCTCCAATAGTTTGGCAGTTCACCCCAGTCAGAGACCAAGCTGCTCAGGAAACCTTCAGAGACCAGTGTGGCAGCCTGGGACCCAAGTACAGGACAGGCATACATGTGAGGATTTTCCCATTGTCTTATATACAAGTTCGAGGTCAACTAAAAAAAACATGAATAAATCAAATGAGATACAAAATCAAAGGGTAGGAATACCGGCCACTGCACAATCTCATATTCATCATCATCAGGGTCCTTTTTCATGGGTACCGAAATCCAAGTGATAGGGCATGGAAATGCAACACCAGACCGTATTGCGCGTTCGTGCAACCCTCGTTCTCGATCATTCCTCAAGCAATGTTTTCGAGCTTCCAAACAATGTGTTGATATATTGTTGGATCACAAGGGTGAAACAGCTAACCAAGACTAGATTCGCAACCAAGTTTGAATCGTATGTTCCAGCAATCAGCCGAGAATGCTTCACGCTGTTGTAGCCACAGCCAATGGAGTAGGCCAACCTCACAGAATGGAAATCCAATTTTCGGTCTCACTGATATGGCAAGCCTTCAGAATCTTCAGAAATCTTTAGAAGTGTATAGACAAGGAACGTTTCATCAAGTCGTTCTTCCAGCAAATGATGGGCTTTTCGTTTGAAGTCACCTGCGAAGGGAGTCAACAGAGTTTGAAATCTATGACTTAAATTCTAAACGCAGCAGGCCAAATAAGATCTTTGTTTCCACCACATTTCACAGAGCAATCTGCCGAGCGCTAGCCAACATGTATGGCACCAAGGCTAGCATCCTACGTACTGGTTTCCAGCTGGTGGTCAAAATCTGACAGGCCATGTGCTTGGGCATCCAAGAAGCTCTCAACTGGATATTTTTTCATGAAATTATTGATGTTGTGAGTTGTGAGATTGAAAAACTATAGTGCATGGCTAATTTGTGGCAGCCCTCTATGCACAAACCCTGCACCCCTACCGTGGCTCCCCAGAGCCATCCAGACTGGCAGTCAGAATTGGAAAATGCAGCGCTGCTGCCCAGGTGTCGTTCAGGACTCTGCCTCTTTGCGAAGCTCCGTGGCCACAGCACGAGCTTGGGCCCTCAGCATTCGGATCTTGCGTACCTGAGGCCGGCTTGACTGATCAAATGATTTTTCGATGGATTCAGATTGCATATCATTTCACAAGTTTGATTGCGAAATTCAAGTATGTAATTCATATGCATATCACTTAAGTTCTGGGGATAAATATATGGCCACGATACCTCCTCGGTGCATTTCGCTTCAAAGCTCGAGAGATCATCATCGCTCACGCCTTTCAACCTGGGCGGGATGACTTGTTTTTTTTTTTGTGGGGCGGTTCTGGAAAGGCTTAAATATATTAATGCCAAGTAGCTCATCCATCAGAGCCTCAACCAACTCCTTGGCATCATCCAAAGAACTTCGAAGAGCATGTCCCGATGGCAATTCCAAGCCCACAGAGCACTTGGTGAATTCACCCTTGAGCTGGTTGCCTAGGTGGTTTGTTGAATGAGAAGAGAAAAGTACTGCAAGTCCTTTTTTGGAGGATGACTTGAGGAACACAAAAATTTGGCTATATATATATATAGATAAATATATGTATGTATATATATATATGTTTATTTATATTTCTTTCAGTTTTCATCCAAAGAACGAATAGCTTGTCGCTGCTCTGCCGGCGTCTTTGGGGTTTGCTGTTGAACTCTCGCCTTGGCCTTCGCCTTGGCTTTCGCTTTTGCTTTCGCAACTGGGGCCGTCTCAGCATCTGGAGCATTTGCAAGGTCAAGCAAACTCTTCAAAGCAGGGCGGTTCCCAACCGGTCCACCTGAGAAAGCAGAACCTGGCCCTAGATCAGCTGATCCACCAAGCAAGTGGCCCAATGCATCGGGGGTAGTCTCTATGGTGCTCTCATCCGTGGCTGTGACCTGCGTGGTTTCACGTTGAGACATTTTCCCACCCAATGAGCACCAGAAGCGAACTGATTCTTCGTCATCAGGGCAATCAGGATCAGGATGGGGGGTGCTCTTTGTGATGATGGTCTCAATCTTCTTCCTTTTAACGATTGAAATAGTTTTTCACTCAAAGCTAGTTGGAATTAAACTATTCATTTGATGGCCTTTCTTAGGGAAATTTTGAAAAATTGATAGATGTAGCTTTCAGCGACTGGCTAAATCCACGACTGCGCATCTCTGCAATGGTCAGCAACTCACGGTTGTGCTCAAGCTCACCTGTCTGCGAACGGGTGATGCGAAGCGTGGTTTCCACGTTTTCAATGTTCTCCTTGCAGGACACCCATTGACGTAGCAGATCTTGCTTTTCCTGGGCAGGGCAAGGTAGTATTGAAAAAGGCTAGATAAGATTCACACAGCTAGAACATTTATGTTTGCTAGAAATATGGATTCACACAGCTCGAACATTAATGTTTTGAATACATTTGGGATATATTTAAAAAGTGTTTTGATTTGGTGCTCTGACTCTGGTCCTTGCGCCCACCCTGCCACAACTTGCACATATGGGGAAACTTGGCCGGATCCAGCCCCTGCATCTTTCGGGTCAGCCGGGCATGTGCAGCACGATGCGAAGAACTGTTGATCATGGCATCAGAGGTCTTGTCCAACTCAGGTTTCTTGTCCATTGGGCTCTTGTCGATGGTCGCAGGAGTATTGTCAATGGTCTCAGGAGTCTTGTCAGTCTTGTCAGTGGTCTCGGAAGGTTCGTTGGATGGCACAGGCTTGTCTTCTGGGACATGGGGTCCAACTCGGGCAGACTTTCTGGGCTTGTAGGACGTAGGAAGTCCCCGCTTTGCACGAACAACTTCTTGTTGCTCATCATGACCTTGTTCTTCATCATCATCAGCAATCGCACGAAGAAGGTTTGGTGCAATCATGTTGAGCATGTTGCACATTTCTTCATCACCACCTTGACCACACAACTGCTTGAGATTCCTGAGGGATGACACCATAGTTTCCATCTTCTTGTCAAAGGATCGGTCAGCTACTTCCGAAGCAGATGGGCCCAACCTAAGTGCAGTGAACCCCGGTATTACAAACACATTCGTTGAGGAAATGATCTCATTGTTATGTAAAGTAAAGATAAATAAAGAGAACAAATCCCTAATCCCTTATGTATGTAAGGCAGATGTTCACTTTTAGTTGTTAAAGTATGTTAAGCCTCCATTACACCGAGTCAAAAAAAAATACATAAATATGGTATATATATAATACGTAAACACTATATAGGATATATATATATATATATCTAATATAATATATATACTATAATAACATATAATATATAGAAGATATATACATGTTTCGTACAACACTGGCAAGCTGAGCAGCTCCGATGCAAGGTCGGATGCCTCCTTCGATCCACGTGCAGCATGGCCCAGATCGAGACAGGAGGCCTGTCGGCTGAGATGCTGTTGCCCAAGCTGCAAAGTTGAGCAAGACCTGGGACTGGAATGAACTCAAAGTTGTTGAAGTTAGTGGAGAGTCACATTTTGAGGGGGTTCCATTCTATCACACAATATTTCACTGATTTTTTTCTTCAGTTTGCAATGAAAAAGAAAGCAAACTTCAAAACAAATCCTCACTTGAAGACAAGACACAACAGCGAGCGCAGATTGGGGTTCGATGCATCGGTCTCCGATGAATCCACACGCGTAGCCTGGACAATCTTTCTGCTAGACTTTCTGGCAGGGGTCGGCACAGTTGTCTTCCAGCTAGAGGGAACCGCGCCCTTAGCAGCTTCCACTTCCGGGTTGACAACAACAGGGGATCGTGTAGGCTCCTCATCAACGGCAACAGCCTCAGGCCTCCCCATCACTTCACCCTCATGCTCAACGGTTGCACCCGCAGCTGGCGAGTCCTGATCGTCATCATTCCCCTTGCTTGTAGCTGACATAGCAATCTCATCAGCTTCATCGATAGGATCACCCTCAAAGTCTTCCTCCTCTTCCCCCTCACAAGAATCCTCTCCCTCCTCAGGTACCAAGGGACCACCATCAGGTTTCTCATTTTCCATGGTAGGTCGCATAGACTTGGACTTGGCATTCTGGGGATCTAGCTCAGGCATAGACTTGGCGTTCTTGGGCCCAGGCATAGAATTGGCATTCTTGGGCGGTGGCTCAGACTTGGTGGAAGCGGAGGTTTCGGGACGTTCCTTCTTGACTTTCGCAAGAGCATCCCTCATAGCAGCACCCTTGGGGTCAGGACCCACCACTTCACTCAAAAGCTCACAAGCCTCTTGGTATGTGATCTGGTAAAACTTCTTGACTTTGGCAAGGTTTTCCCAGCAAAGCTCAAAGGGCGGATCAGTCACCTCAGTCACCTCCATCTCTGAACTCTTGGCCTTCTTGGACTCAGTAGCGTTCACCTTCTCCTCAGCTCTTTTGCGCGTGTGTCGCACAGAAGGTGGAGGTGCAGGTGGATGCTGGGGAGGTTCAGCATGGAGGTCGGTGCGCTGCATTGCAAGACACTGCTTCTTGGTCTTCGCCATGAGACAACTTGGAAAAACAGTTTCAACCTAAGAAACTCAAAATCCTTGAAATGGAGTATGTTACAGCATACAGATTTCACAAAGTTCCTACAAATTTTCGTGATTTTCGTGCTTTTCGTGATTTTCGTGCCATTTTCGTGGTTGTTTTCGTGATTTGTGAATTCACGTTTTTCATGGCGTTTTCATGTCCAATCAGCCGTTTTCCCTGTCCAATAGCACGCTTTTTCACGCTCTTGATTTTTGTTGGTTTTGTTGAAATCATAAGGAATGCGAATTGCCATGAAATTCGCATGATTTTCATGGCCGAACAGCCAGGCATATAGATGTGCTTTCATACATCCAGGCTGTGTGGAAACCCAGTTTTGAGACTATATGGTCGCCTCAAATGTACCCCCAAGCAAAGAAAGTTCACCAATGGTAAAATTTGGCATCATGCCGATGGTCGAACGCCAAGTCGATGCAGGATTGGCTCCTAGATGGGAAATCAACTCTCAACCGTTCAAAATAGCATACCCCAAAACAAAGAACGATGCTTGTTGGAGAGGTTATGAAAAGGAAAACTACACGAGCTTTTGCACTACCAAAGGTTCCCTGCATTCTGGAATGGAGATGTGTTTTGCACGACCCATGTACGTCATCGCTTTCCAAAGGTCAGCCTAGGGCGGATGTGAAATTAACATCATGGTGATTTTATGTGTATATATATCTATATCTATCTATCATAGATATATATATATATAAGCAAATTTCGCTTGAATGAGGGCTTCAAAATCAACTGACCGTTTGGACCACCCAAAAAATGTACAAATTCAAATGGGTACAAAATAAACGGGTTGGAATATTGGTTTATATATATATATCACATATTTATGGGGCTCAGGTAAAGTTATAGGACCAAGCCAAGAAACATCATTCCAAGCATCATCAAAAATGGATGGGAGGCAGAACTTCTCAAAGAGCTCCAGGTCAGTGAGCCCTTTGGGAATGTCAACATGTTGCACCGGTCCCGGCAAGGGTGCCTCAGAGTTCCGGGAAGTTCGGCACTGTGTTTGATAGTTCCGACACACAATGAAGAGAGTGAATCCATATAGTCACATATCTATTTTCATGGCGGTTATATATATATTGCTTGTTCGTGAATGCAACCTTCTTTCATTGTGAAACCTTGACATCGTGAGACGGCTATTTTGGGGACTGGTTCAAATTATCCAAGGATAGCTCATGTTTTTCTCTTGTCCAAAACCGTGGATTAAAGCCAAAACACATGTCGATGTTCTGCAGCCAAACTCGCAATGAAGTCACCAAAAGCAGCAGGGTAATGCCTGATCGAGTGGATGGATGTGCGGGAAATTTGAAACCAACTGGATTTGTTTCACAACGCAAAAAAGTTGAACAGGATATTTGTTTGGGAAATGTGGTACAGGAAACATTCATGCTAAACAATCATCATAGGTACGCAGACTCCTTAAGGGCCTTTGGCACACCCACACGTCTACGTTTTCCATTTCGATCAACATACCGACGAGTCGTTGGCACAGTTGTGCATTGTTCTTGATCAGTTCGGGACATAAAGCCAGCTCTTTGAGAGATCGCTTGAAGGGTTTCCTCATGGTTCGAATACAGCTTGTACATGGTGCAGCTGAACACCTGGCAGGGATTTCGCATTAGACTTTTGTATATATACAATATGGATCTATCTACCTATCTATTTATATATATATGTACATATATATATATACACAATGGATACTATAGGATATATGTCCCTTGTATACACCTAAGTAAAAATAATACGTGAAAAGAGTATGGATGCCTTCCCATGGAAACTTGACAGTATACCACATGGCTACCATGAAAATAGAACAGCTGTAATGGATCTTGTTTTCTCGGGGTATTGAAAAACCTTTGATTCCGTATATACCCCAATCATTGGTGTCTTGATTTGTTGGAACCCAGGCCTTCACAACACCCCATAGCCATTGAAACCGCGGCAAATCTTCCAGAAAGCTGTTTCGAGGTTGCTCTAATACCCATTTCAAATTGCATATGGAGGCCAATAGGATTAGGAGCACTGACCGTGAGGACAACATATTGCCAACACGGACAAAAGTGTATCCAGTGTTGCCCCAAGGCGTCAAATATGTTCTGCCCGATGTGAAGCGGCACCTGAGAGGCCGGCAAAATTTGCACAGGGTGTGAAATTCATGCAGCCGAAAGCAACATGTTTGGATATGAAAACTAATTATGTGGCTAGTCCAATCCACATGGACTCGTGTTTTCTTGTCAGATACCATATAATCGAATATTTCCTTATTTCACTTGTACATGCCCATACTGCCAAGACACATTGTACTCATCGAGCTGCAGTCAGGCGCTATCACCACAGTGGAGCCGGGCTCACATCGGAGGATTTCATTGCAGGCCAGCCTCCCAGCAGCTGCGCATGATCGATGGAGTAAGAGTGGACAATTCAATTGGGATATACAATAAAGGATCCCACATGTACTGCTTTGTTGAATCAGCGAATCATGAATTTCAGTGGCCACTCACATGAATTACAATGAAAAAATTCAGACAAAGGACGCAAAAGCTGCATTCCCTGTGAGATCGAATGCCCGCTTGTCCAGTTCCCAGTCAAACGAAGTTCCTCGAAAACCAGCCTGAGCACAGCGATCACTGCAGTGTGTGGCAAAGGCCCCAGAAAGATATAGTCTGTTGGGTATACAGTTGGTGTACATATCTCCCATCTATTCACAAGATCATTGAATAAGTGAATATATACATTGTATTGATTATGCATGGATCTTTTTTGTACGGATATGATTTGATATATATATATATATATGATATTTGTATGTATGAGCCAATCACTGGATGCAAATTTGGCCAGATATCGGCCCAACTCGATTATTTCTTGCAATCTGTTCGTTTTCACACATGGCACCCATGTTGTACCAAGAAGCATCACGTAGGGCTCGCGAAACTTCACCACGACCACTAAATATCTCAACAAACTGACGGTCCTCGGGGGGAAGCTGTGTGAAAAATGAAAAACCAAGCTCAAAACATACAAGTAAAACAGAGACTTACAACAAAAGCACACATTTACTACTTAAGTTTAGGTTCTTGCCGGTGAGGAATTTGCATGTTCCATTGCACCAGTAGGATGAAAAGTATCATCGCTGGAGGAGCTCGCCATTTCAGAGCATCGAAAACCACCATAGCTAAGATTCAATTGGGTTAGCAGTAACCTACTTTTCTTGATCAAAATGGAATTCTGGACAGGACAAGTTTCACATCTCAACTTTTTCACAAAATCCATTCACCACAATGGTTGTGAACAAATGGGTTGACTTTCATTGACACATTTCAGTGCCACCGCAAAGGTTTTTCCACGCACCGCAGAGCAGCCTCTCCCCAGGCCATCCGTGATGATCCAAAATGGAAATATTTCAATTTCAGCATGGTGCTGAGCAGTCCCAAAATCCTAGTTGGCCCATGGGTTTTCAGTGCTTCCCTTTGGGATGAACTTACGACGTTTCAACTCCTGGACCGAAACATCCTTGAGGAAATCTTTCTTTGCAGAACTTTCGTCCCACAAGTGCTGAGCAGCCTCAAAGCTAAGATCATGTTCATTTCTGGCCTCCTTGATAAACTTCATGCGAACCTGGTTGTAATTCCACCTCTTTCCATCCTTACCCAAATTAGTTGCCTTACGTTTCGCACTGGGCTTGGTGGATTTAACCTTGGCCTTCGCCTTCGCCTTCTTGGCTTTCACGGTAGGTCCTGGAACCTCATCGTCATCGTCCTCAATTTCATGAGGCTCGTCATCACCTTCGGCTTCACGGGCTTGGGTGATGGAATTGACATACTGGGACTTCAGCGGGAAAGCATTGGCCGTTTCAGCCGACATCTTCTTCATGGTGTTCAAAACCTTGGGAACTACTAACCAGGAAAGTCGGTTGGCTTAGAAACATGTGTATTGTGTTCCCATTCGCAAAGTTCACTTGAACCCTGACAGAGAACAGAGAGAGAGAGATATATGTATAATATATAATATATATATGTATGTATGTATGTACATATATGTCTGTACACACATATATATATATATATCTACAAATAAAAATGTGAAGCTTAGTAAAACAAGTAGCATGGTCAGGAAGTACATAGCGATTCTGATGTGGCTCTGGTGCTGCAGGATCATTCAGGGAACTCTTGGCATCCTTGTCAACCTCTACTTTGGGATTCTCAGTAACCCCCAAACCTTGAGCAGCTTTCTCAGCCCTCTTTCTTTGGAAGTAAAGTGCAAGGCGTTGTTTCGGGGACAGCGACGAATCCGAACTAGATGGAGTATGACCCACATCCTTTTTGTTTGACACATCTGGAGATTCATGTTCCAAAGTATCCCCTTTGCAACCACCTTTGCAACCACTCTTCATTGGGGTTTCCATCTTGAGATTCTTGAGCTGGCGAATCAACCTATCCATCTTGGCCCTTGACGCACTAGATTCTGTGGAACCAGTTGCACCGGAAACGTGCTGGCAGGTGCCGTTGACGAGAGTGATGAATCGAGCTCTTCAAGGTCCGAAGTAGTGCCCGCATCGGGCGCCTCGCTGGTCGACTCATCATCATCCTCATCAACATCCTGGGCATGACAGTCCAGAGATCTAGGCAGATATCCCAAGATATCCATGTTGTAGGATGATCCAAGGCGATATTCTACAAATCATCATGAAAATGTACTCATAACAAACTTTCTATCTCGGATTGAATTGGTACAATTCCATTTCATCAGGTTGAGTAAGCATGAATTTCACATGGCACCAACTATGCAAGATTTTCATGGCCAACCCACTGCATTCACATAAATTTATTACTGATCCACTATAACTGAATTTCATGTTGAACCCACAGATTTTTTTGACAAAACACAGATTTTAGAACAAACAAATATATTTTTTGACAGGGGTCCACTTTCTTCCCCGAAGATGACTTTGGAGCTAGCTCCCCCCAGCCATAAGAACGGGCGGTTCTCTTGACCTCAGTGAGTTTGTCATACTTCGAAGTTTCCGATCGTCGCATAAGTCGGCGCAGCCTCGAAACCTAAGTTCCGATGGCAGTGAAAATCGAGATCCCATTACATTTTGCTTTGGAACCAATTTCCACCAGCCCTTGGTATAGATGATCAGCTAAAACAGGTATCCAGTTAATTAAGATTAACCCTATATATGGGTGAACTCGCCGAAGGACCAATTTCTTGATGGCCACACCATACTTCAATGCCCAGGACTGGACCGCCGGTATGTCGGAATAGATGCCAGCTGGATAGAGTTTCAAGTCTTGGAACACGGTCAGAATTGCTTTCTGGAGAGTGTATGCCGAAACTCGTGGATTGCCATTCATCCCCTTGATAGTTGCTAGAACCACCTGCAAAGTGGCAGAAACACATTGGTCTCAGTGTTCATTGTTGTTTTATCCATGAAATTTAGAGAGATGGATGGTCAGTGATTGATATAAACCTACAAATACACAATATTATACTAATATAATTGCAGATATAAATATAGCTTGTATATAGCAATTCAAAAATAATGGAAACATATTTGAAACTGGGAATCCCCATCCTCACGGTTCACAAGGATATCCTTGATCGAGCACCCGTGCATAGAAAACAGCTTCCCCGACTTGCCGACCAAGAGTGTCATGCCAACCTCAGTGAAAAACTTGTGTTTTTTTTTTGGGATGGCAGGTTGATGTGAATGCATTTTTGCATTTTTCACTGCAATATAAGAAAACAATGCCTCCATGGAACTTCTTTCAACTTCGGGAGTTTCGAGTAGGCTTTGACAAAAGGCAAGTGGGCCAGTTGCGAATGCACCTCATCCCCATCAGCCTTTCCATTGGGGTTTGACATCTTGATATCCCCACAAGTGACTGTAAGCCTAAAAGCTGAGGGGCAGAGAGTTTCAATCCACCGCAATCTTTCAATATGGATGGATCCTCCCACAATTTCAACATGCCAACATGACCCCCAAATTGAAAAAATCACACGACATGTAATCCCAGTGCATGGATCCCCGGATCTGCAGCGGAGGATGCGTACCTTTCGAGTGAAAGAAGTGCACCTGAGCAGGATGATCCGATTGAACTCAGCACTTAACCTCATGATTTTCACCACGAATTCACAAACTAAAAAGTTTCTGCTCTCGATCCAGGTTTTTCCAAAAATTGACACTTCCTGGAATGTGATGGAAAAATGTTTCACAATGCGTGGCGGCTTGGCAGCTAGGCAGTTTTCATTGAGCCAGGGCACCATTCCACTGGCAACAACCAGGCACAGCAGTATCCAGATACCAGCCATCAGCGCACAATCCGATGGAAGGCGATTGAGATCCACCATGAAAATCATAAACATGTCATTCTCTGAAACATATCAGGCGATGTGCTGTAGTATCATATAGATATATCTACCTACATGGTATGTATAATGGTGCCTTGCAACCATTGGCTTGAGGAAAACTGTTTTCATGAGAGCGTTTCTCACTAATCGGCACACCCCACGCCGTGCACTCCCCGGGTTGAAAAAGGTGGCAGTTGCACCGGGCGATTGGTTTCGCAAAACTGTGTTTCCAAAAAAACTAAAAGAACCAGGTGGCACACAAATCCAAAACAGATTCATCCAGTTTGGCCTGTATTGGCCGGGGACAATTCACTTGAATAAAAGCATGACCAAAAAAACAAATCCTGCACACATATGCGCTGTGATTTCTTTGGTGTCTGTTCAGTGGAGGAACACGTGCTCACATATTATATCGTGTATATATATATATATATCGTATAGAATATTATATATAGTATTATCATTACTATATAAATATAAACACATTTATTTTTTAACATATTAAATAAATAAATATATATATATATATATTTATTTATTTCCCCATCTAGATATTTTTATATATTCACCATCTAGATATCTATATATATATATTCCCCATATAGATATGTTTCTCGCTGAAGCCTGTAGACATCCATAGCAGTGAAGCCAACACAGCTCACATTGACACCAGGTCAGCTAAAGCGTATGTTGTATGCAATACAACAAAGTAGAGTTCCTAGGCGATACCTTTGACCCAGCCCTCCCACCCAAGAAGCCATGGCTAGCCATGAAAACTAGGTTTGCCTTTGACCCAGCCGTCCCATGCAAGAAAACATGGCTGGCCCAGCCATGAAAACTAGGTTTGCCTTTGACCCAGCCCTCCCACCCAAGAAGCCATGGCTAGCCCAGCCATGAAAACTAGGCTTGCCTTTAACCCTCCCATGCAAGAAAGCATGGGTGGCCCAGCCATGAAAACTAGCTTTGCACCCAGCCCTCCCAGGCAAGAACAGATGGCTGGCCCAGCCATGAAAACTAGGTTTGCCTTTCACTCAGCCCTCCCATGCAAGAAAACATGGCTAGTCCAGCCATGAAAACAAGGGTTCCAGTTTTCACGGCCAAATGGTTTTTTCACGGCCAAATGCCTTGAACGGCCTCCGGCTCCCTTTTAAGGAGCCAAAGGGCCTCCCAGGGAACCTCACGCGCTGGCGGTATGTTTCAATGCTGGCTATGCCGGAACTGACATGCCCCAGATGCAGAAAGGTTTTTCCGGAAGGCACGCTCATTTGCCTCGCCTGCGGCCGTTCTCTGGCCACCATGTCTGACATGCGCCGTGCATGTCAGGTCTTCAGGTTGGAGGAATTGGCGGAGAAGCTCGGCTTCGAGCTCACCCTGGACATGCTGGGCGACGATGACGTGGCGGGAACCACCCAAGGTTCCAAGCAGATCAGATCTGCTGCCGCCGTCCTCAAGAACCACGCGCGAAGCTACATGAAGCAAGCGCGAAAGGCGGGGATGTCATTGTTGCAGCGTCTGGGAACGGACGCCTACTACGCATTTACTGTAATTGCGCGGTTCAGGATTTGACGCCCAAGTGCATGCACTGGATCACCGTGCTTGGGAACGTCGTCCTCCCTAGTATCAAACGAACTAGGGAGGAGATCCGCACCGGGAAGATCCGGCAATTCAAGGCACGCATGTGCCTGGTTGCCTATGAGGCGGGACAAATGCAGACACTCGTAGTCGATGACCACGTGTTGATCTGGTACAAGAACCGCTTCTGCCGCGCCAACCAGTTCGCAGCTGCCTACGCGGTGATTCCTGTGCAGAACCGATTTGAGGTGTTGAGCGAGGCAAATACGACTTTCCAGTCGTTGGCGTTGTCCAAACAGGATGTGTATGCCGACATCCTGAGCTACGTCGACAACATCCTGCGCCCCCTCACGGAGGCAAAGGACACGGAAGGCGGAAGCCGACCCCTCCCTGCGACCAAGCAGAAGGATCCGGAATACACCAGGTCTACCCGACCAGGTTACGGATCTCATCAAGGTCCAACTCATGGCTACAGTCAGCAGGAATGGAACGACTACTACAATCAGTGGACTGACCAGGAGTGGGAGGATTGGCGTCGTCGCAATCAGGGACATCAGTACCGTGATCGACGATGGTCTGGATATCGCTGAGGCATCGCGGAGGGGAACCTCTCGCCTGATGGATTCTTATTCATCTGAGGCGGGGTAGTTTCGCTCTATGTGAGGTGTCGCACAGCGGAAGCTGTTGCCTACTTTGATGTTGATTCGGGTAGGTGATTAGCTTCATTTGCACTGGGGGGTGCGCGATTCCACCAACATCCAAACTCATGTGTGCTAAGTCGGAATTTTTGCCAACTCATTCAAGTTCACAAAATTTTCATTAATGCTTTGAATGCATATAATTTGAAGCAGGCATTTGGCACTCATTTCATTCTTGCCGTGATTCCTTCTTGCTGAGCACACGGCTGGTAGTTGCATGTACCGCAGAGCGCAAGCTCTTGCCTTGCGAAGTTAAGGCATCTTTGAAGCTTTTCTCAATGCTTCCCTGCGGGTTCACTCAACCGAATTCAGCTTTTGCCGTAATTCAAATCGCTTTGCTTTGGCAAGCTCCCGGGCGTCCACAAGAACTTTTGATGCCGCGTGGAAACGCTGGCCTTTGTAATGGGCCACACTTCAACACGTTTGCATGTTCGACCACAAGCCCGGTTGAGCTTAAAATAAAGCTGAATGCATCCGACCGAATCGACATTCGCAGCAGCCGTTGATCATAGTACTTGGTGTCAGATTGAACGCACTGCTTTGTCATGTTCGCTTCTGAAACTGCTTGCCACGCTGAGGTGATGACCTGAAGTACTACGGAAAGGAAGGCCGTGTTTCTGGGGTTTGGTTGAGGTTGTTACTTATTAACGGCATCCCTTACCTGGTTGTGCATGGCGTAATTTGCAGCTTCATCTCCCGTCGCGGTAATTACACTGCACGGGGGGTGTTGTTGCACAGTAGTACTCTTAGTATAGGTCATTTCACCCGGATTACCCTGTGGCTGTGGCTCAAGAAATAGTGCGGTGTCCGCAGGTAGTATCTGTTCATATATTGTGGTGTATCCCGGTTTTAACCTAGTTTCTACAAATCTGATCATGCTCCTTCCATGAGGTGGGTTTTGGATGATGTTTTTTTGCTTAAGCAATTGTTTAAATTTGTTCATTTTTCGAAATGAATTTATTTTTCAAAGTTATTCAAACTTGTTATTTGTTAACATGTTTCAAACATGTATTAGAAACAAACCGTGCTTTGTCGTTGTGCGACTCATTGATGGAGGCGACATGGCTGCAACAAGTGTTGTCAGCACAGAACTCAATATCATTTGTTTTGTTTTGGTTCTGTCATTTGTTTTACAGTCATCTGCAGGTTTTTTGGAGCTGAAAATTGCCTTTTGCGCAGGAATGTGTAGACTTGTTTGCAGCGTTTGCGTTTTTATTTGTCTACCTTTTTCACACTTGTGTGAAGTTGATTTTTAAAATATTTGCCAGCATAGAAGAAATCGCTGTGTGCGTATGTGTGCGTGCTCATTTTCCGGGAGCCTTCACTTCAAGACCCACCAGTGTCCGATGCGTGCAACATCGCAACGGCATTACACTAAGATACCACCTCCCACATCAACTCCGAATTAAAATATTGCTGCGTACATTTCCGGTATATCCGAAACCATTTACAATCTTCGGAAGGTACATTCGATATTTTTTTGGACACAAGGTCCGCGCTGAAAACGTTCCCGTTCTAAAGTTCAATTTACGAAGTCAACACACACGCTTAAAACAGATGACTCGTCTTAAGTTTAAATCACAGATTCACATTTACAAAAAAACATCAAAAAACAAATTGCGAATACCAAAAGTAACTTGCAAATACTGAATATTCATTATGAATCATAACTAACTAAAAGAACATACGAATACTAATGAAATATTGCCCATCTCCCCGAGGAATCCTGAAAGGGTATGTGTTTTCTTTATACTTATTGCTTTGGCGCATGGTGCATGCCGTATATATTTTCCCACCTGCATTTTGGTAAAACTATACATGTTACAAACTGCAAAGTACATGGAAAATGTGCGCTGCCACAGCGTCCCGCTCTCTAAAAAAATACGGGTGCAAAATATGTGGCCCGTTAGGTCAGTTTCACTAATGATTCTCAGTTTAGATAATTTTAAGCCAGAAACAGTTCGCTGCAGGAGACTGAGCAGGGTGCCCGCCTGGAAGTCATCGACACTGAGGTGAAACTGGTGAGTGTGTGGGACATCGTGAAACGAGCCTTTTGGGACTTTGGCCACCTCGATTGGTTCAGTGTGTCGTTGGATGAACTCAAAACAATCGTTTCTTCGTCCTTAAACCTCATCCTGGACACGGCCACGCACAGATGCTACACCAAATGTGAATGGATGGAAGACGCACCGCATGGAAAGGGTGATTTGTACGACTTGCTTCAAAAGTCTGGATGGGTCTTGATGGTCAGAAAGACCCAACCCGAGGTCGTTCCGCCAGAGCAGTGCTTAGTATTTGTGAACTATGATTACAAATGCATCCAGAATTTCGCAGAATACGTCAAAGTGGAATTCAAATCGATGTTTGGGGACAGCTGCTTTTGCCCCTCATGCGAAGGGCAGTTTCTGCCACACGAGCTCAGAGACCACCAGGCTTACTGCAGCGCAAATCAAACTTTTGCCGAGATTTTCTCTCCGCAGGAAATGGAACTGTTCTGGTCTTACGAGCTACGCATGGAGGAGACGCTGCTCGGCCCGCTTCAGCTGGGTTTTTGCCTCATCACTCACATTACCTGTGAACTCTGTGGCGGGACCTATCCAGCGTGCGACAGAACGTTCCATGCTGACACATGCACAAGGACTGAGGCGTAGTTATAAGTATTTATAAGTATTTTTAAGTATTTATAAGTATTTATAAGTGTACCATCATGTTCACCGCTGGAGTATTATGAAAAATTATGTCGATAAGTTGCAAAGGTTTCATGACACGCATCACTCAATAGAAACCATATTTGGCAGTGACCGGTTTACCATTTATGCTTGACAAGGGTTTTTGAGTCGGGCTTTGATGAGGATTGTCGTGTAAATCATGGATTGCCGATACCAGTACCACATGGGGGGATGCAGCGTTTGCCTAGTCCGATGATTTTTGCACAGGACGAACTGGAAAGATGGTGAAACACCGAAGGAGTCTATCAGCATCAGCCCAGCAGCAGCAGGCTGCACAGTGGACAACTACATCACCCTGGGTGGCGGATTGAAACCACAAGTCTTCATTCCGATCACTCGCAAACTTCCTTCACACTATGCCGAGAAATTGAAAGAGGGCTATGTCATGCGCCGCTGTGCCGATACTTCAAAACCAGCGTTGCTGCCGTCGGTCAATAGCACGGATGTCGACGGCACAGATGGCACAGCAAGCAAGTTGCAAGTGGAAATCTACTTGGCCTTGGAAAAACTCGAAGAGGACATGCGGCCTATTTGTCATGAGCTTCGTAGGCACCTCGAAGTCTCCGAACTTAAGCAGTTCAGGGAATTGGAGAAGAAGCTGAAAGGCAGAAGCGGATCTTGGAGACCACGTTTGGGAGAGAAGGCGAAGGACGTGGAAGCTCTGGAGGATTCGTTGGAAGACGCCCGCTATGAATTGATCTCTCTGTCAAAAACTGCGTCGACCAAACATTGCTTCGACTGCATTCAGGACATCGATCGAGCCTTCAATGTTTGCATTGAGAAGTTCCATTGGGCGAAAAAACAGTTCAATGTGCAGAGCACCGCTTCTTGCCAATGGTTTCTGGGGCGTTGGTGGAAGTCTACGGTTGACCCAAAGTCAACGTGGAAGAATCAGGCGTGGGGTCTATGCCGAGCAGTTCCTGTTTCTGAGCCATGCCTGGACCGCGTTCCAGAACCATTGAAAAACAAAGACATTGATTTATCAGGAGCTTCATCAGGAGCTTCAGATTCTCAACTGCGAGACTTTCTCTCGCCCAAGCTAGAGCTTGTCCTTCAAGCGAAGTCCATCACAGGCCTTTTGTGCCAAGAAATCCTCAATCTGAAGAAAGTTGGAGAAACTGATGCAACGGTCGACACATCCCGATTCGATCAGTACTGGAAAAGCTTTTGCTCGGCCAAGAAAGAGCCCCACGCTGCAGCTCAAAGCTTAGGCCAAGGCCATGTGCAGTGGAGGAACAAAGATGCTTTGGAGATGGCTTGTGAGATGGCCGCATTGGGCAAGCCGCATTGTGGAAGCAGAGCTTGCTATGTCCTTTGTGAATTCCTCAAATTCTGCAAGGAGCACCTCCTGACAGCAGAGACATTGCAGAAATGGGCTGCAAGGATTGTTACCTGCGGCGAGTGGGAGTCGGTCGCCGAGCTCTTGAAGCTTTTGCCGAGTTTGACGTATTTGGAGTTTTGGGGCAGGTGTGTTGTTCAGCCAGAAGAGGAAGAGGAAGTCTGGAAGGCAGTCTGTCTACACCCAGAAATTCCGAAGCTAGACTCAATTTGAGCCTGCAGTCTGTTGAAGAGCTGGATGATAGGGAAGCATCGGATTTCTTTGAATTTGTGGCTGCCTGCAGCTGCCTGCTTCATTTTTTTGTTGTTTGATATGGCAGAAGGACTGCTGGACAAAGATGGTCTGGTTGCTTACTCACAGAGAAACCCGTGCATGTAGGATCATGTAGGTTCCTTGTCGCCTGGGTGTTGTTGTTGTGGTGATGATGGTGGTGGTGGTGTGTCCCACAACTGTCATACCAAGAGTCTTCCGCAAAAGTGTTCCGCAGGAGTGTCTCGCAGGAGTTTTCTCACAAGAATGTCCCACAGGAGTGTCAGACCAAGAGTGTCGTACGAGAATGTCATGCCTAGAGTGTCATACCAAGAGTGTCCTACAATAGTGTCATACCAAGAGAGTCTTACAAGAGTGTCACACCAAGAGTGTCTTACAAGAGTGTCATACCACGAGTGTTTTTACAAGAGTGTCATACCAAGAGTGTCTTACAAGAGTGTCATGCCTGGAGTGTCTTACCAAGAGTGTCACACCAAGAGCATCCCACAAGAGTGTCGTGCCAAGAGTGTGTTACAAGAGTGTCATGCCTAGAGTGTAATACCAAGAGTGTCTTACAAGAGTGCCATACCAAGAGTGTCATGCCTAGAGTGTCATGCCAAGAGTGTCTTACAAGAGTGTCATGCCTGCAGTGCTTTTCAAAAGGATCATACCAACTATTGTCTCACAAGAGTGTCTTGCCAAGAGTGTCTTGCCAAGAGTGTCCCCGAATGATGAGGTTTCAACATCTATGTCCTTAACATACGCGTGAACATTCAAGTTCGCGGGCGCCATTTTTGTATTGTGGGGGCTCTGAATTTTACTAGTTGCTGTGTTTTTTCTTCCGTTTGTGTTTTTTGTCAAAGGAAGTTGGGAAGCAATACTTCCGTGTTACGGACAAATAGAATTCTGAGACTTGAAATGATGAAGGGTGGTGCGCGATTGAGACTTGACCTTGAAGGGTGGTGCGCGATTGAGACTTGACCTTGATGAAGGGTGGTGTGAGACTTTACATGACATAACACTGCATCACATTGAGACTTGACCTTGATGAAGGGTGGTGTGAGACTTTACATGACATAGCAATACATCACATTGAGACTTGACCTTGATGAAGGGTGGTGTGAGACTTTACATGACATAACAATACATCACATTGAGACTTGACCTTGATGAAGGGTGGTGTGAGACTTTACATGACAGTGGTGACGAAGGGAGGTGGGGACGATGGGAAGTGTTGAGGAAGGGAAGTGGTGACGAAGGGAAGGGGTTACCATGGGAAGTGGCGAGGAAGGGAAGTGATCACGAAGGGAAGTGGTGACGAAGGGAAGTGGTTACGATGGGAAGTGGCGAGGAAGAGAAGTGATCACGAAGGGAAGTGGTGACAAAGGGAAGTGGTGACGATGGGCTTTGTGTTGGGGAGGAAGCCGGAGCACGAAACCGTGTGTTTTTCCGTGTAAAGTGGCTGCAGCCGGCGATGAAAGCTACCTCGTCTGTGCGGCGGTTGCGGCTGGGGTCGTTTGGTTCCTTCTATGTGTTTTGCAACAATGCTTGTTCCTGTGTGCGTAGTTCTATGCGTTTCTTGACGCTGTGGTGCCAGATCGCATTGGAATGGCTGCATGATGTTGCATGGGCTTTGTGTTGGGGAGGAAGCCGGAGCACGAAACCGTGTGTTTTTCCGTGTAAAGTGGCTGCAGCCGGCGATGAAAGCTACCTCGTCTGTGCGGCGGTTGCGGCTGGGGGTCGTTTGGTTCCTTCTGTGTTTTGCCACAATGCTTGTTCCTGTGTGCGTAGTTCTATGCGTTTCTTGACGCTGTGGTGCCAGATCGCATTGGAATGGCTGCATGATGTTGCATGGGCTTTGTGTTGGGGAGGAAGCCGGAGCACGAAACCTTGTGTTTTTCCGTGTAAAGTGGCTGCAGCCGGCGATGAAAGCTACCTCGTCTGTGCGGCGGTTGCGGCTGGGGTCGTTTGGTTCCTTCTATGTGTTTTGCAACAATGCTTGTTCTTGTGTGCGTAGTTCTATGCGTTTCTTGAAGCTGTGGTGCCAGATCGCATTGGAATGGCTGCATGATGTTGTATGGGCTTTGTGTTGAGGAGGAAGCCGGAGAACGAAACCGTGTGTTTTTCCGTGTAAAGTGGCTGCAGCCGGCGATGAAAGCTACTTCGTCTGTGCGACGGTTGCGGCTGGGGTCGTTTGGTTCCTTCTATGTGTTTTGCAACAATGCTTGTTGCTGTGTGCGTAGTTCTATGCGTTTCTTGAAGCTGTGGTGCCAGATCGCATTGGAATGGCTGCATGATGTTGCATGGGCTTTGTGTTGGGGAGGAAGCCGGAGCACGAAACCGTGTGTTTTTCCGTGTAAAGTGGCTGCAGCCGGCGATGAAAGCTACCTCGTTTGTGCGGCGGTTGCGGCTGGGGTCGTTTGGTTCCTTCTATGTGTTTTGCAACAATGCTTGTTCCTGTGTGCGTAGTTCTATGCGTTTCTTGACGCTGTGGTGCCAGATCGCATTGGAATGGCTGCATGATGTTACATGCCGTGTGTTGTGGGGAGGAAGCCGGAGCACGAAACCGTGTGTTTTTCCGTGTAAAGTGGCTGCAGCCGGCGATGAAAGCTACTTCGTCTGTGCGACGGTTGCGGCTGGGGTCGTTTGGTTCCTTCTATGTGTTTTGCATCAATGCTTGTTCCTGTGTGCGTAGTTCTATGCCTTTCTTGACGCTGTGGTGCCAGATCGCATTGGAATGGCTGCATGATGTTGCATGGGCTTTGTGTTGTGGGGAGGAAGCCGGAGCACGAAACCGTGTGTTTTTCCGTGTAAAGTGGCTGCAGCCGGCGATGAAAGCTACCTCGTCTGTGCGGCGGTTGCGGCTGGGGGCGTTTGGTTCCTTCTATGTGTTTTGCAACAATGCTTGTTCTTGTGTGCGTAGTTCTATGCGTTTCTTGAAGCTGTGGTGCCAGATCGCATTGGAATGGCTGCATGATGTTGCATGGGCTTTGTGTTGGGGAGGAAGCCGGAGCACGAAACCTTGTGTTTTTCCGTGTAAAGTGGCTGCAGCCGGCGATGAAAGGTACCTCGTCTGTGCGGCGGTTGCGGCTGGGGTCGTTTGGTTCCTTCTATGTGTTTTGCAACAATGCTTGTTCCTGCGTGCGTAGTTCTATTCGTTTCTTGAAGCTGTGGTGCCAGATCGCATTGGAATGGCTGCATGATGTTGCATGGGCTTTGTGTTGGGGAGGAAGCCGGAGCACGAAACCTTGTGTTTTTCCGTGTAAAGTGGCTGCAGCCGGCGATGAAAGCTACCTCGTCTGTGCGGCGGTTGCGGCTGGGGTCGTTTGGTTCCTTCTATGTGTTTTGCAACAATGCTTGTTCTTGTGTGCGTAGCTCTATGCGTTTCTTGACGCTGTGGTGCCAGATCGCATTGGAATGGCTGCATGATGTTGCATGGGCTTTGTGTTGGGGAGGAAGCCGGAGCACGAAACCGTGTGTTTTTCCGTGTAAAGTGGCTGCAGCCGGCGATGAAAGCTAGCTCGTCTGTGCGGCGGTTGCGGCTGGGGTCGTTTGGTTCCTTCTATGTGTTTTGCATCAATGCTTGTTCCTGTGTGCGTAGTTCTCCTCTTCTCTTTCTCTAACTCCTCTCTCTCTACTCTCTCCTAACTCTCTCTATGATGTTCTATGCGTTTCTTGAAGCTGTGGTGCCATATCGCATTGGATGGGCTGCATATGTTGCAATGGGCTTTGCGTTGGGGAGGAAGCCGGAGCAACGAAACCTTGTGTTTTATCCGTGTAAGTGTGCTGCAGCCGGGCTATGAAAAAGCCTACCCTCTTCTGTGCGGGCGGTTGCGGCTGGGGGGGTCGTTACCTCGTCTGTGCGGCGGTTGCGGCTGGGGTCGTTTGGTTCCTTCTATGTGTTTTGCAACAATGCTTGTTCCTGTGTGCGTAGGTCTATGCGTTTCTTGATGCTGTGGTGCCAAATCGCATTGGAATGGCTGCATGCTGTTGCATGGGCTTTGTATTGGGGAGGAAGCCGGAGCACGAAACCGTGCGTTTTTCCGTGTAAAGTGGCTGCAGCCGACGATGAAAGGTACCTCGTCTGTGCGACGGGTGCGGCTGCGGTCGTTTGGTTCCTTCTATGTGTTTCAACATGGTTGTTCCTGTGTGCGTAGTTTCTATGCGTCATTTCTTGAAGCGTGTGGTGCCAGATCGCCATTGGGAATGGCCTGCATGATGTTGCATGGGCTTTGTGTTGGGGAGGAAGCCGGAGCACGAAACCTTGGGTTTTTCCGTGTAAAGTGGCTGCAGCCGGCGATGAAAGGTACCTCGTCTGTGCGGCGGTTGCGGCTGGGGTCGTTTGGTTCCTTCTATGTGTTTTGCAACAATGCTTGTTCCTGCGTGCGTAGTTCTATTCGTTTCTTGAAGCTGTGGTGCCAGATCGCATTGGAATGGCTGCATGATGTTGCATGGGCTTTGTGTTGGGGAGGAAGCCGGAGCACGAAACCTTGTGTTTTTCCGTGTAAAGTGGCTGCAGCCGGCGATGAAAGCTACCTCGTCTGTGCGGCGGTTGCGGCTGGGGTCGTTTGGTTCCTTCTATGTGTTTTGCATCAATGCTTGTTCCTGTGTGCGTAGTTCTATGCGTTTCTTGACGCTGTGGTGCCAGATCGCATTGGAATGGCTGCATGATGTTGCATGGGCTTTGCGTTGGGGAGGAAGCCGGAGCACGAAACCTTGTGTTTTTCCGTGTAAAGTGGCTGCAGCCGGCGATGAAAGCTACCTCGTCTGTGCGGCGGTTGCGGCTGGGGTCGTTTGGTTCCTTCTATCCCTAACCTGGGTCAAGCCAGGGGGGGTTTAGCCAGGAAAGGTTTTGAATACTGTTCAAACAGAGGAAAAAAGAGAAAAAAAGAGAAAAAAAGAGAAATAATAAGAAATAATAAGTTTTTGACAGGTTTTTTTTTAGATATATTTTTTTTAATGAATTAACTTTTACATTAAGTCATTTTATTTCTTTTTTGGTCAGGGAGTCAGGTGCACTTTTTCATTTTTAAGCTTCAGGTTTTTAAGACATTTATTTGAGACACCGTATTCATTCATTGCTCAAGTCATTTGATTTGACTGCATTTAGACAGTGATTTCTCAATTTATGACGACTACAGAGCCAACCTCTGCATTGCTG